TAACACACTAATAAAGAGAAAGCCATGACTTCATGTATTGCTTTTGTACATTTGCAGGATGGCTCCATCATGTGGTGAAACATTGCATTGCACCCAAATATGAATTTCTTTAACAGAACAAGTTTCACAAGTGTCCAAGTTAGTCTGTATCAGGAAAAACTTAAACAACAAATAGTCTTTAAAGTGCTACCAGACTAACAAAACATGTAGATGATATCATGAGCTTTTGTGGGCACAGCCCACAAAAGCTCATATCACCATCTACGTTTTGTTAGTCTTTAAAGTGCTACCAGACTATTAATTGTTTTTTAAGAAGAAACAAGGAATCCAGCAGCACTTTGAAGACTAACAAAATAAGAAAACAATCTTTTTCATCCAGATTAGCAGGAATAAACCTGGTATAGGCGCAGAACCTACAAAAATTCTTGGGTAACAATCAATTATCAAGTTAGAATAATAGTGCCTTCGCAGCGCGAGCTTAAAGCAACCTTTCAAAGCAAATAAATCAACCCCTTCTCTTTGTCTTGTAGTCCTTACATGTAAACTGACAATTGAGGAGGATTTTGGAGGTAAATGCCATCTGGGTAGGAAGTTTGAAATGCACTTTCAGTTTAGAAGAACTTCAATTGTTTGACTATTCAAAATCTATTATAAAAAGGCCAAATTAGTTGTTCCCCTCAGGCCCCAGTAAGAACTCTTGCATCAGATCAATGTGATGCTTGTTTACCAAGCTGAATAGTAATTCAAGGTTAAGATTATTATTGCTAGATTGTCTTTCGGTTTCCTTCCTTGGTTACTCTGTTGCAAGATGACTGACAAAGATCTGTTGGTCGCTCCACTATCTACGTTCAAGGGACTTTCATTTGCTTGAGGCAGCAAAGTTTTCCTAGCGGGTGGTTTTGGTGAGAGCTGAGGAAAACCTCATTTCTTAGGTGTCTCAAACATTTCAGCAAACCAAGAGGAAGAAAATTTTAGTTTCAGGTCCAACAAAACATTTTGTTTTCGAGATTTTTAACAGAAGCAAAAGGAAATGAAACAGAGAAGGTGGTTAGCTCTGAGCTCAGTGGTAAGGACATTCATCTAGCTAAGAAGGCCCAGCTTCAAATCCCTGCTGCTGTCCAGTGACTACTCAAGTATTTTGTAGAAAGTGGAACAACTTCAATAGGAAAGACTGAAGGCAGCTCTGCATCAGTGCAGCTGCTGTAGCACTTTAATGAAGATGCTCTTAGCTGACAGGAGAGAGCTAAAGCTTCAGAGGGGTAGCCAAGTTAGCCTGTAACTGGAAAAACTTAATACAAACAACAAATAGTCTTGCAGCAGCGTAGGAACTAACAAAGAGCTAAATTAATCCACTTCTGTAGGAGGTGATCGCTGTGTCAACTGGAGCTCTACCCCCAACAGAGCACTGTCTACACTACTTAGGTTGGTATAATTATGTTACACCAAAGTAATTCTGTAGTGTAAAGCAGGACTGAGAGACCCCCTTCCCAGCATATTATATAGCCAGGTCATTAGAAGGAAGACCAGGGTTCAAGTTCCTTCTTGCTGCCTAAATCTCCCCAGAGATCAAACCTGAAAAAATATCTAGATGTTTTGTTGCAAAAATGAAGAACTGAACTATTTTGACACTCCCCAAAAGTTTTCTTTGACAGAAACAATTTGCCAAAAATCAGCACACATTCCCAAAATGTTTCAGTTGATCCAAGTCTACATTTTTCAGTGGAAAAAAATGCTTAGTCTGAAAAATTTCACCCATCTTTAGTTGTAACTCATACCTTATCCTCCATATACAAGATAGACACACTATCTGGCTGCGGGCCAAGGATCTCACTGTACCTGGCTCAGCCTCACTCCTTTGAATCAGAATTCTCACATCCTTCTTCCTAGTGCCTCTGCAGATGCTAGCAGCAGTCCTAGTCATCCTCCGGTTTATACCATACCACTGGCTCCTAGATCTTCTCTCCCAGGGAGTTCCTCTGCTACCTCATTTTACTCAGTCACAAGCTGTTATTTTCCCTCCAGGCCTACTCCTTGCCACTCAATCCTCTGTTACTCATCTGCACTAGTTGGGGAGGCAAGCTACTACACACACAGCATTAACCATCCTTCATGTTCCTGGATTCTCAGGGAGCAGTGGTGGCGAGGACTATCTTTTCAACTCTGGCTATCCAAGATGGCATGTGATTTTTCTACTTCATTTAAAATATCACAGCACGCCAAATTGTAGCCTTTCCCCACACTCTCTTAAGGGTTAAGAGCTGTAATAGTTGTCTTCTTCCATTAGCATACACAACTAAATTAGAACACAAGATGTTATTTTGGGCAAAGATGTCCCAGAATTGGTAAAAATCAGATTTTAGCAATAGTCATATTTTTTTCAAGTCATCATTATTCACAAGTTTGTAAGTCAGTAACTATTATCATTTGCAACTATGCTTAAGGGGATAACATCTAGGAAATCACACTTAAGATGAATTAAAGGTTGTTTCAGGGACTATACTAGCCTCTGAATTCCCATGCCAATTTGGGGGTAAGGGATTATAATCAAAGTTTCCTGTACTCTTAGATATTCTCTTCTCTCTTGTGTTGCTGGGTAAAAGCCCCCACACACACAAAAGGGGGAACTTACCATGTCTCCACTCCTGCAAACTGCCTCTTACAGGTACTAGAGTTTATGAGGCTATACTGTCTGCATTCATGGAACAATTTGCAGGAGCAGGAACCTAATCTGGGAGCAACATTGCCCAATGGAGAGGGCACTGAACTCAAAAGACAGGAGACCTGGGTTTTGTCTCATCTCAGCACAGACTTGCTCTATGACCTTTGGCAAGTTGCTTCATTTCTCTGGTCTTATGTTCTTACCCCATCCTACCATCAAATTTAGGTGGCAAGTGTTTTGGGGCAAGGCCTGTCTCACTCTGTGTTTGCATAGTGCCTGGCACAAGAGGGCTCTTATCTCAGTTGGGACCTCTTGGCACTCCCGTCATATGGTGATAAATGAGCAATAATGTGGGAGAGCAAAACTGACCACAAAGTGAACAAAAATAAAAGCAAAAGCTTTTCTCCCCCACTCTAATCTCTTCCACTTATCAGCTGTAAAGATACCAAAAAGGCAGAATGATTCACTTTGGTTATACATTTGCACAAATTCAGCATGTGTGATTTTATCAAAGTCATAGGAGGGCAGTATTGGATCAACAAACTGTTTTGATTTTGATAGAAAGGAGATATTTGATAATGCTTTCTGGTTCGTTTTTATGATATTTCGGTAGACTGTAGAAAAACGTACTGGCTAGACAAATACAAACACCACTTCAGGTTTTCTAAAAATCTGTATTTACACAATTTTGTAACAAAAACTGACAGAATATTTTATAGCTGCACACATTTGTCATGAATGTAAAAAAATATGGCATGAGGCACACTCCCATTGTTTAGTGATGGTCTCCATTGTAAATTGCAGGAGGGCAGTTGCATAAAGGCTCAAGGTTTTCACTTAATACATTCTTTGCTTGCATAGGAAAATTATTTCAGCCCCCAGATCTTGTAACATGGAGCATATAGACAGGCTGCAGAGAGCCCACGAGAGCCTCAAAGATTTTAAATGGGGCTCTGCACATCTACAGTGGGGCTGAGACATAAGCATGTGTCTCTTTCCTAGCATACCTGTAGAGGCCTGTCATACAGGGATATATCAATATGTACTTTTAAATAAACAACCGGGGGGATGATTCTGCAGCATGCTGGCCATCAGTTTCTCAGTTCTACACAAGATCAAATCCTTGCTGATTACACAATGTTATGAAGGCTGCATCATGCAGTGTACTTTTTCTCCCCGTGCTTTTTAGATTTGTGGTAGTGGATATAATCATTGTACAATTCCTTAAAGACTTCTCTTACGCCCGCCTGTAGTGATGCATTTAAGAACTTGATGTCACGTTCAATGCAAAGGTCTAGGATGTGGTAAATTCCCTCAGTTAGATGTTTCTTTACAGGTGGATGTAAGGTCACCTAGAAGAACAAAATCTCATGAAACTTTCCACTTTCTATAGTAAGTATACATCAAGTACACAGTAAATAAAGTACTGACAAGATACAATCTAATGCATCAGCCTATCTAGAATGATCAATGATTTCATTATCTAATATTTCACAGTGCTTATTTCCCTGATTTTGTAAATCTGATTTAAAACACAGCAATAATATTTGAGTCTGCATATTAAAATGTGTACTGGTATTGACTGTTCAAGACTTTGTCATACATGGGATAATTTGAAATCATTACAGCCAAAAGAACCATCAAAAAAACAAAATAACTGCCCCCCCCCCAAATCCTACCATAAAATACTCATATCTATCCTGGAACAGATTTTTGTATACCTCTTTCATATTCAGGATACAGAACAATAGCCAATATTAGTTGCATGCTTTTCAATGAAATCTCAGGAAATGTCCTTCAGTGAGCCTACATCTGCAATGGTTATTTTGTTTTGTCTTTTCCAGTTTAATAATTGCACTTATCTAGCAACTTTTATTTAAGAATTTCCATTTGCTTTATAAAAAATAATTAAGTAAGCCTTTAAAAAAAAACAAAAAAAACCACCCTGAGAGATGTGTGTTTACTTCACCATTTTAACCTCATGAAACCCTAGGCATAGAGAAATTAAAAGACTTGCCTAAGGCCATTCCGTTACCTAATGGAAGAACTGGAAATAAAACCTAAAACCCCTAACAGTCGCTTGCTAATTGCTAGATACCCCATTTCCCCACAACTGCCATAATCCCTACAACAGAGCACCTCAAGGGGCTCTCAGCCAGTGTTGGCTCTCGGCCAGTGTTGGGCAACCTGCGGCCCAAGGGCCACATGCGCCCCTTCTACATGTGCCCCTCAAGGCATTTTGTTTACTGTTGCCCATGTGCAGGGTTGCCCGATACTACTGGATTCTACCTACTGTTTTTTTCCTACCACTATTACAAAAAAGACAGGCACAAAGCCAGGGCATGTGAAGTGAGGTGCGTGCTGACTGCCTCTGTACCTAATCAAAGCACTGCTAAGGTTCAACCGGCACATCACGCAAATTCTACATATGCAAGCACAATTAGCAAAATTCCCCTAGCCCAGGAAACCATCTTGGTTACAACACATGAAGGAGGGCCACATGAATGCCACTCACTATCCTAGGTTGCCCATCATTGCTCTAGACAAACTGGAACACACTCTATGACCATAACCAACTCACTGAACTATTTACTGCCTTAGGTTCAGGTGGCCTCTGAAGCGGAGCATGTTCTAGCTTCAGGAAGAAGTCTGATCCCTACCAAATATCAACATTAACTTGGTGCCTCCAGACCTGGGCGTCTGCACTCCAAACATAATGAAAACTGCATGAAAGGCTCTCGCTAAAATTGAGAATTTTACTCTTATAGAAGTAGACTTCTAATCCCTGCATCAGGTCCAGGCTCTCTTTCTGCCCTGAACATATAGAGCAGTGAAGGAACGGGGCTGCCTTCTAAAGGATAAAGAACCAGTTGATTGCTCAACAAACCTTTATTATTGAGAAGTTGGGCCAAATTTATAACTGGTGAAAGCATATGCATCTGTACTGGAGTTACACCTGTTTACACCACATTGGAATTTGCCTTAAGCCCTCTTGACTGGTCTTTACTTTACAGTACAACTCCCACTAATCGCTGTCTAAAAACATTATAAGATTTAAACAGTTGCAATTGTTGGCTGGCAGTTAGTTCAACCCATAAACACCGTTTAATCTATATAGTTAAGCAAGACCAATTTGCATTACAGAATTCTTCTCAGGGCATGCTAAGCGTCTGAAGAGTTATTTCACCATTGGTGAATTATGCTGCAGCTCAGAGATAACACATGAAAGGTGATATATTAAGCATATAAAAGAGGCTTCAGGTGTATCCAGTGCCAATGTTCTTTATAGGAAGGCCAATGAATAGCAAGTTTCTCTGTTTTCTGACTTGCCCATCCAAAGGCCCTAATAATGTCGTTTGAACAACGTTGGTTTATAGTTTTAAATTCCTTTAATTTTTGCAGAGGGCAGAGGAGGCTTGACAAGAGTCACTTATGCGGATTTTGAATATTTTTCCCAGCCCCTTTCTTTACCCTTTCCTCACCTGGCACCACCAAAGTTGCAATTGATACTGACGGAGGATTAACCAAGTCTGATTGGAGTGCAATTTGTGGACAAGAAAAGGAAAGGTGAAAACATGAAGATGATTACAAAGAGCGAGAAACTAGGAGCTTGCAGCTTTTGCTGAGGACTGGAAACAGGTGAGGCAGATACCTGAGTGTGCACTGCTGTGGATGAGTTACTGAACACTGTGGTTTTGTCTACACTGCAGGGTTTTTGTGCAAGAAGCTTTTTGCAGAAGAGTTCTTCCACAAAAACTTCTTGCACAAAAGCGCGTCCACACCTCAAAAGCACATCACAAAAGCAATGTGCTTTTGCGCAAGAGAGCGTCCAAACTGCATGGACAGTCTTGCACAAGAAAGCTTTGACTGCCATTAACAGAATGGCCAGCAGAGCACCTGTGCTTTTTCTCATAGGCTCTTTTTGCACAAGAAACCCCTGCAGAGCGTCCACATGTGCCTTTTTGCGCAAGAGCTGTAGCACAAAAAGGACTTATTCCTCGTGGGGAGAGGAATAACTCTACCAGAAAAAGCCCTCTGTCCTGTCGATTTACTGTATTTTATTTTTTTGCGCAAAAACATGCTTGAGGTGTGGACGTTCTGCCAGTTTTTGCGCAAAAAGTGTAGACATTGCCTGCTACAAAAACAGGTAGGGCATGCATGCCCCAAAAAGGCAGACAGACAGACAACTGAGCAGCATGTGAATGAGTTACAGAACTTTACTCCAGTTAGTCCTACTGAAAGGGAAAAAAGACAAGACAGGAGCAGTTGGATTTGTTAATGCCAAAATTATCCCCCTTGGGGTTCCCTATCGCATTACTTCGAGTCACTCCTGTCCTTCACTTGGACCCAACTTATTGCCAGGAAGAGCTATGGCTGCAGAAGCTTGACGAAACGGACTATACTGAAAATTTCACATTACAAGAAAGAGCGGACAAATTACAGGAGCAATCATCTGATCAGCCAACTGATGAATTGGACAGCACAGGTGGCACTCAAGTGGCTCAGATTATCACAGCATTAAAATGCAGCAACACTTTGCAAGTATGACATCAGTCTAGAGAGAGCCTGAGGTTCTGCTCATATGAGATGCAGCCCAGTGAGGCACCTGGCAAGCTGTGCAGATGTGGATTAAGCCAGACAACAGCGGTAGAGATTTTTTATCCTACTTCAGGTGCTCCAGATGGCTGATGCAAACATGGGGATTTGGGTGTCTGAACAGCAGCCAACAGCAGTGAGACAAACAGGCTTGGCTGGGTGAATGCAGAAAGGACATCAATGGAGAGACTAGTATACAATGAAGTCCTTGGACAGACTTTGCTGAGAGGTGGCAAATAGCAATAGTACTCTAGAGCTCGTTAGGTTTTTCTCCAGGACAGTGATATGTAAAACTCTAATCACTAGCACAAATAATTACAGGAAGATTTTGCAGGCTTTGATGGACACAGGCAGCACTCAAACCCTAATGAAATCCAAACTGGCTAACCTGGAACAATTTTAGTATTTCAGATGTTAGATCTGGCTGCAACAAGCTACTCCAATGTAGATGTCTTTTTGACTATGCAAGAGCAAGAATATTTGCTTTCAGTAGAAGTGGGGAATGGCCTTGCATATGATATAGTTCCTAGGTCAAAGCTCTAGTCAATCAAACTAGGCTTTCACACACAGTGTTTGGCTGATCCTTTTCACTAATAATAATGGGTATCATCTAGGAGTATGCTAAACTCATAGGAGCTGAGGACAATAGCCCTAGGGAGAAGGCTAGGAAAGCAGAAGGTTGGGGGGGGGGGCGGCAGGAGGGCTGCAGATTAGGAACCCCTTGATCTAATGACCTTTAACTCTTGCTTTCCTTTGCACACACTCAATCCCATTGTTCAGGAAATGGTTAAGGAAGAGGATGTAACCATCCTAACTGCTTACTAGACTCTCTCCCGTTTCATCAATGCCAAATTCTTGGCAATACTTCTAAAGTAATATCAGAGCCTGGTCATCAATTCCAGAGCACTATATTATCACTCTCAAAGGAGAAATTTTAGTCCCAGAGTAAAACACCCAAGAGAAACCCCTACAGAATGGAGGCAGGCAGCAAGGTATAAGATGTGCCAAAACACATTCTCTGTTAACAGCTAAGGTTAGGGCTCAAACTCAGTGCTCTGGTATTCTTAAGTTCAATGACTACAGTGTGTCACCTTTCACGACTCACCTTCTGTGAGAACAGGCTGCCAAATAACTCTCTGACTTCAATCTAGCCCTAGTCTTTCTGCAAAGCCCATGTGACTATCACTCATTCTCTCTCTGGTCCATCAGCAAGCTCAACCTGAACTAGAGTAGCAAACTTTATCCTCTGACTTCTTTCAGAATCACTTCCCAAAAGGGGCTGTGGTGTTGTGTACCAGCTGAGATCAATTTAGGGAGGATTAGAGCCTTGATTTGTAGCCCAGGTGTATGCAAAAAACAGAAGAACCAGGTGATTTTTATAAATGCAGTTTTTTTACAAGGCATATGATCTCTCAAATAACCACATATTTGGACCACTAGCCCTACTCTGCATCCCCATGAGCACTTAAGAGAATTTAAAATAGCTCTTTAAAACAGTAACAAAATACAGGACTATGTAGCATTTTAAAGACTAACAAGATGGTTTATTAGATGATGAGCTTTCGTGGGCCAGACCCACTTCAGTAAGCGACTCTCAACCGTAACCTTATAAGGACAATGGTAGATGACTGTATATTACCTTCTGCAGTTCAATCACATACTGGGCCACTATGAAGGGAGAAAACACTGTGAACTCCTCTGTTTTTGCAGCAATGTGAGTATACATCCTTTCTATCAAGTGCGCACATTTCAATACAACACCAAATTCATCTGTGCTCCCTAAAAGAGAAATCAAATTGTGGTTTAAAATTAAAGGTTAAAAAAAACCCTGCTATACCCTCCTCCCCCAAAATCCCAAAATGAACATAAAACCAACAACTAGCTAGCCATGGTTTCATATTTTGGATTTGCCAAAAGGCATTTTATAGATATAGTATCATGAGCTTTCGTGGGCAAAACCGACTTCCTCAGATGAATGGAGAGAAAGATGCTTTCTTTTTCTCCATTTACCTGAGGAAGTGGGTTTTGCCCACCAAAATTCATACTACTATATATTTTTGTTAGTCTCTGAGGTGCTAGTCTACTACCTATTTTTTAAAGTTACACACAGTTCGCCCTATTCTGCACCTTCTTCTGTGCACTACACCCAGACTCAGGTATATTAATGAAAATGACGACACAGCACCTCTGTCTCCTTTCTGTCGCCCCTCGTGCATAACGGAAACAACCAGCCTATTGAAACTGTTCAGGAAAGATGGCGCTGATTTTAGCATCACCTGCAAGAACATCAAACCAAAGAGGATCAGACAATGCCTAATGCGGTAAAGAAAATGGTTTCTTTATTAAAGCAGCGCACACAACATAACACCCCAAAATAAGAGTGGATTTATGTGCTTAAAAGGAAAGTAAATTGACTGTAAGCTCTACAGGGAAGGGAATGTATTTTTGATCTGTTTGTACAGCTGCTGGCAAAATGGGGGACCTAGGGATCCTAGATGGTATGGTTAATACAAGTAATTGTAATAATCTCAAAGTAACCCCACAGCCACAAGTCAGAGGTTCAACGTTATGTTATTCTAATGCAGTGGTTCTTAACCTGGGGGTAATTTACCCCGTGTCATAACCATGAGGGCTGGCCAGCACCTGGGGACTAAGGGGTTAACAATGTCTCCTGTCTCTAGCCAGGTATCGGGTCAGCCAATGGCAATGCAGGTAGGGATTTCAAACTGGGACAAAGGAATTTTAAACCTTTCCCTCCTTTGTCTGAGACAGAGTGGTTTCTTCCAAGTAACAGGGAGATGGGAAGGCCTGTCTCTCTCCAAGAAAAGTCTTTTCACAATATGTAAGTAGGGCAAAGTTTATATAATCCGTCAGGCATTATTGTTTTTCTGGTTTGGGAATGTGGAATTGATGTCTGAGTTGTTCAAAGTGTGTTTTTTTTCCTCTCTCTTTAAAAGTGTTTTTCCTTTTATAACTAAAGTCCTGAGCCCATGGGGGGGAGAGGGAGGGTCCCCCCCATGAGTATATTGGTAGCTTTTTTTCATCTGGCCACTTTATTATACTTGCAAATGTGGTATTGTTTTGATAATAAAAGTTTGTTTTCTTTTTCTAATTAACCTGGTATTGGTTCATTTCTGTGTCCTGGAAAATCTGTCTGTGGGTATATGCATGCCTCTGACTAGGGGGCAGCTACCACACTGCAGCTTGTATTTTCTCTTGTCTTTTCAAGCTCTTTGGGGAAAAGAGCTTGAGGTACCCCAGAGGGTTTAGGGAGGAAGTTTCCCAAGTGATCTCTTACCTCGTCTCCTTGGAATACTTGAGTGGTGGCAGCGGTTTTTTATTCTCCAAAGTCTGGGTATTAGGATTTTGGGGGGAAGTTTTTGTAACAAAGCCTGTAAAGATCAGGTTTGGGGGTGCTTTTGCAGGCCCTGACTTCTGCATTTGTCGTACTGGAGTGGGAAACAGCCTTGACACCCCTCGAGGGGTAATTTGGCATATTTCAGGGGGTAATAAGTTTAAAATAGGCATTTAATTTTGTTCAACATAATGTATGAGAAAACAAAATACAATAAAAATGATTAAGCATAATGTTCTTATTATCTATTGCCATTTTAAAAAGGAGGTGGGGTCATTTTGGTTTATTAGTTAAGCTTAAGGGGTAACAGTACCAAAGAGGTTAAGAACCACTGTTCTAATGGCTGTGGCATTTACTGTCGCCTACACGGGACCAGCACTTGCCCATGGGACCAGAGATTAAGGACCAACACACTTATTCATCTGAAAATTATTTGGGAAAAAAAAATCAGGTTTCAGCTGACATAAGCAGTAGAGGGAAAATTTTCAAAAGTGACTTAAGGCCAGGTGCTTAAGTCCTATTGGCCTACAGAGACTCAGTCTAAGTACCTATGTCATTTTTTAAAAATTGAACAAAGGAACTTCTGAAAGCATCACTCTAATCTAACTTTAGAGGTTATGTGATAGTCTGCTTTCAAACTGTTATAATTTCAGAACCTCTATGATTTTTCAAGCTACTAGTCGTAGGTCAGGGATTAACTTTTTAAAGTTTCTGATCACTGGACCTTTCCCACTCGTCAGCCCTTCTCCCTTTACCTTAGGGTGACACTGCAGTATAGAGAACAGGACTTCATGAATTCCTAAGAAGATATTCCCATACTCCTCCATCTTCAAATGACCCACAGGGATAGTCAAAAGAATGCTGAATGCCAGTGTCACATGATGTGGATTGGAGAGAATCTCTTCTCCTTGCCTCAGTAAGGTTGCTACGGTCTCCAATATAGGTACAACAATGGTGGGAATCAGCAACTGGTCCTGACAAGCCTCTTTAGTTTGCATCTATATGTGAAAATGAAGGCAACAAGAAAAAAGTATTTGGCTGTTTCCACATGCATCCTTTTTCCACACTAGGGAGTTGTACTGTTGCACCTTGACCCAGCAGCAGTATAGTGGTGCAAACTGCAACAGCATAAAGCCTCATGCATACTAGCCAATCAGTTCTAGGTGCAAGCCATTCACCATAGCCACCTGCAGCATTGCTTGAGAACACCACAAAGCCTATGTGTTGTAGCATCTATCCGACAATCCTGAAAAGAAGATGCATACAGAATATGGTATACAGGGTCTATTTGCACCTGTTCATATTTTTGTCCTTCTGTCCTTCACAAGCTCTGTCTCTCCTACGAGTGAGAGAGCAGTTCTCTGGCCTTTTGTGGTAGAGGTGATGGCAGGGGATTCCCAGCCACTACCAGACAGATTTGAGCATGAAACCAAAGGGTCAGACATCATGATGGCAAGCACAAATACCACAACATTTGGGTGCAGCACAACACAGGTAAGGAATCTGATTTATTTTCATTCACTCAGTAATTTCATGGGCTCTCTTTTATTTGTTGGCTGTAAGGCCAGACTAACAGGGTTTTTTCTTCTCTGCATCAGAAAAAGAGTTGCCTAGGCTGTGGGAGAGGCAACTCTAAGCCACTCCATATAGCCTAGTGCTTGAGTCACTACACACATAATGTAGTGTAGCCCCAAAGATATAATCTTCTTCAAAGCAATGGAGATGATAATGAATGAGCATTTTTGCCATGCCAACATACTGGGATATACTTGGAGAAATTTGGGCCAAACAGCATAAATGGATCCTAGCCACACAGATGTCAAATGCATAACATTTTTTAGAATAGATTTCTGTGTGTGTTTCAGACACAATAGTTACAAGCTCTGTCAAACTTATACCATGGCAGGTAACACCATGGGAGTTACTTACAACTAAAGCTGTGATGATCTGTGGGCTGGTAAACCAGAAAGCTTTCTTTTTTTCTCCACTTAATGGGCAGCTGAGTAGCAATTTGATTAGCATAACAGCTGACAATATTTCCTGCAAAAAATGGATACACAGTCACTGCAAAAAAGATAAAGGTGCTCACTTGAAATAGGACACCTCTCAGAGAAAACGTCACATTAGCAACAGCTCCAAAAAACTGGTGTTGAGCAATAAACACCTTCACTTTCTGTACCAAGACTATTTTGAAAACAGATCATGACATTAAGAACATTTAAAAATAAAGGCAGATCAACTCAGGTAATGAAGGGAAGTGGTGTAAGTACACATGCATGAAACTCATATGTACTTTGAGCCAATCATATAATCAGCATGTGTTACCAGCTAACATGTCACCACATATTGACTTATAAGAACTAAGATGAAGGTCTAGGAGCCAAATACTCCAGAGCTTTAACTCAGCTCTGAGTTCCAAGTTACTTAACCCTCCAAGAGGGGGTCTGTACCAGACTTGTTTCCAAATTTCTTCCCAATGTTACAACCACCAATTCAGCTCCATTGGTAACAGACGTTAATCATGTCACCTAATGAACTACTGGAAGATGCTTAGATGCTATGGTAATGAGTATGGCATAAGAACCCGTATAGAACAGACTGGTGGGAGCACTAATATAATGAGTGCTTCACATACCTGCTGGTACTTTAAAGCGGCATGCCATTTGACCCTGTTCACAGTAGGTTTGGACAATAAAATGATTAAAATATCTGTGGCTATAAGTGTGTTGTCTACGCTACACTTTTATTATAACAACAATGGGACATTTTTAGTGATAAAATCTTCCACCTGGTCTTGATCTCAGTTCCTCCATCTGAACAAAGGAGATAGCTGTACTAACTTTCTCTTCTCCTCAAAGCAGTACTGGTGTGTTTTGTAGAGGACTTTGATGATGAAAAGTACTCAGTTAGTGCTAAGTAGTACTCTGATTAGCAAAGAACCACGCACACTACAAGAAATTTATACTAGCATGTGCCACCCAACAACTACAAAGAAAAAACCACACTAGGTGTGACTTTTAAATGAACTAGGCAAATCTTTTATGCATTGTTTTGAGTGAAGTTCATGGACTGAAACAGCTTCCTAGTAATCAAGTACATAAACAAGACAAATCACTATTTTGGCAAGGAGCCTCAGGACTCTACTGGATAATAGCAAACAAATTAAAGATTTTATTTAGCCAGTGTGTAATGTTAGAATTAACACACAGGAGTCCACCTTCAGCACTCTCTATAGGAATTCACCAATGTGAGACTCCTATTACTGGGAGTTAGAGTACTAAATGTCTGAGGATCATACTGAAAGCTTTCTTCATTGGTAGCAAGTTTCTCTTTCACTGTGTATTCTATTGATCTCTGGTATTTCTAGGGCACTCTTCACCACAGTATCTAAACACCAATTTTACTGCCCTGTAAGTTACCATGAGTACGCAGCATAAAACAGAAACACATTCAAAGCTCAACTCCAAAGTCTTCCTCATTTCCTGCTCAGTCTCTCCCTTTTCGTCCTGCCATTCATGCTCTACTGCAGTTCAAGCCAGGGAGAGAGAAGAAAATAAATGGTATGAAATAAGTCAAAAGTTCCCTACTTTAGGATTTTGTTTCCAAATATTGCTAACTTCAAGTCCTTGGAGCACCAGCCTCATCATGACACAGAACTCCTCAGTAGTGCAGTTCTCCATCAGGTGGGTCATCAATTCTGTCAGCTGCATTTCTAGATCTTGAATTACCTGAACTGTGGTGTCAGGGCCTGTGTATTCAAGAGACACGAACACAACTGAATTGCTTATCCACATGGGGACTTGCCACAAAAAGTAACTTTCAAAACCAAGCCTTAAAAAGGAGCAGGGGTGGGTGTAACAGTCCATGTGGGCAGAACATTCTTCTTTTTCCCACCTCCAACAGCAGCAGTGTGTCATTCAGAACATATTCCCACCGTACTGTTTACCCCACTGTTATCTTGATTAATTTCCTTCACTCTGTGAAAACACTATTGATTGGCCTGGGGGTGAGGGAGCATGGGAAGTCTCTTCCCACTGCCAAGGGCATGGGTGCTTAGTGGGAAGGAGGGGCAAAGGGGCTCCCCCACTCCTGGACTAATCATGGTTTGTGCACAGGAAAACCCGAAGCATTCTGGCCCTGCCCCTTCTAGGGTGGCCTGGTGCCACTTCAAAAATTTGTGAAGTGGCTCCTGGCAAAAAATTATTTCCCACCTCTGGGCTAGCATAACTGGATATCTTCAGACTTTTTGAAGAACCTCTTATTTGCTTTTACCCTCTCCCAGCATTCCAAAATTAACAGAAGAGTTGAAGACAATACAAAGAGCTCCATACCGGCAAGTAGTTGTTTTACAGAATGAAACACAGTGAGAGCAGTCTGTTGTCCAGGATACAGATCTGTCACTGAGCAGAAAACGGTTAAAAACTGCAAGGCAGAGTGAAGGAACTGCAGATGACCTCCTGCCAAGGTCAGCTCTCTCAGTATCTGTGTGTAAAACTTTTGATACAGTTCAGTGTGGGAATACTCCCGATATTTTCCTGGATCTTTAGGATTCCCTTGCCCGCCTTCTGTTTTCATAAAGCCACCCACACACGTCATCAGATCTGCTTTCAGTAGGGTCGTGACAGATGGGATGAGTGCCAAAGGTAAAAGCTGATCTTTGGTGAGGTTTCCAAGACAAAACTGGATGGCTGTTCCTGTCTGGAGGACTGTTGGCTCTAACAAAGCAGACAGCATTTCTGTCAGTTGCTGTTTTTTCTCTGGCTGCTGCTGGAGGTATAGAGTCAGAACATGGCAGAGTGTGGTTAGTGGCACTAGGAGCAGCTGATTGACTATAGTGTTCCAGGTCTTGCCTCTGTCCGCATCAGCATATGATTTGCAGCTCACTAGGAAAGAAGTGAACTTTTCCAAATTGAGTTTCAGGCTCTGCCTCCTTTCGACAATCATCTGAAGAAAGCATTCCAAAAAGGTTCGGGTTACCTGGAGAAATTCTATCCAGTCAGGAGTGGACAAAACATCAGCAAAGTTTTTGCTGACTGTTAACAGGGCAGTCATGACAGCCTCAAGAACATCACTGGCATGAAAAACTTTAAAGACAGAATTGACACTTCTGCCAGTCTGTAGGCAAGTGAGGAGGCGGAAGCAGGTAATTAGAAACTTCAGTGACAGCAGCTTACTGCAAGAGACGTTAGCTCTAGTATTGGCTATCAAGGATAGCAGCAAGAGAAAACAACGGGTATGGTCTGAAGGCAAAAGACTGTCAAGTTTCAATGCAGAAATAATCTCTAATAAATGCAAAAAACTTTCTATCTGGTCTTCTTCCAAAGTAATGGGGGCTCCAGCTCTTGTTAACAACAATACATGTTGAGCAATTTTTTCCATTGCTGTCCAACAAACCAACAGTTCATCCTTTGACTGTTTGTTTTCTGACTGTACCTCTGAAGTGCCAATCATTTTGCAAGATGAGAAGACTTCATCATGCCATGGAATATTATCTGCAGCTAGCTGTTGAATAGGCTGATCTGCGATGCCCTGTGCAGCAGAACACAGTACACCAGCGCACTGCTGAATAATGTGACTTATAAGTGCACAGTGCAGCACCTTAATTTCTGGAAGAAAAGTACTATGTAGCAAAGCATCCGAAATCTTTTCAACTACGATAGAGGAATCTTGATCTGCAGAAACTTCCCGTGCTTCAGTCAATGACAAAGTCTTCAGAAGCATGTCAGCAACATACTCTATATCTTTCAGAGAAAGATAAGGAATCAGGATTGTAAGATTTGAGACTACAAGATACCAGTGAGCAGCTGGGTAGGAGAGAGCATTTATTGCACTAATGTTGCCATTCCAAGGTTCTGACTCACCCGTGCTCATGCTTGATCTTCCAGAATGAAGGATGAAAGCTGCAGCTTGCTGCAAGGTGTAAAGATCAGCCTCAGTCTGAAAACTGGTTTGCATTAGGACCTTTTTTATTTTCTGAAGCATAAGCCGTTCTAAGCAATATTTACTAGTTGAGTAGAAATTACTTGAGAGCGCCACTATCTTCTTCCAACCCTGTCTGTCCATACCAGGGAGAAGGGCTGAAAAATCCCAGCTCTCTGCAGCAGAGTCACTAACACCATCAGTTGCTTCAGCCAATCGAGACACATATTTACTGCTGTTTATACTAAGCAGAGTGTCAACCTCCACCCATGTGTAGACAAGTAGGAGTGCAGAGTCACTGACCTTCTCTAGCCATAGCCCTGGTTTATTTTCCTCTGCCCAGTGATCCTTCAATAGGTCCAGCAATGGCTGGATTACCTCTCTCTGCATCTTGTCCAACAGATTCTGAGTGCGAAGGACAACAGGTAAGGGAGTGACATTATCCAAACTCTTCATGTTGAACAGGAAAGCGTGCAGCACTGAGCTTACAGACAACAGCTTCAGTGCCATGTCAAAATCCTGTTTAACATCAGGAATGATTAGAGTCTGACACTTCTCCAGTAGGAGGAACAGAATATCCAGAATCTGGTTCGGTGGCAGCTCAAGGAGACACTCACTAAGTTTTGCTGTCAGCCCTGCAGACAAGACCGGCAGCCTTAACTCATCAGCAGCTGGACGGCAGATCACAGACAGAACCTCTTCGAAGAGCTTAGGGAACTGTCGCAGCTTTGTGTAAGTCTGAAACATGGTGTTTATGAGAGTCTCCTGGGGCTTCTTTATACGTGGCTCAGAGACTTCTGCATCAATCCAAGCGGAGGCCACTAGGTCATCCAGATCTGGCTCCACAATTAAATGATTTAACGAAATCAAGGCCTTGAGACACCTAAACCAAGCTGGGACAGTAGCCTGTGAGTGATTCACCAACATTTCTGCAAGCTTGCGGTAAAACTGGAACTGAATATCCTTGTGCCTGATCCGGTCAGCGGCAACGTTATAGATATCATTGCTGAGAACCAAGTTCAGGAGCTGTTCTATAGCAAGCAGTTCTGTGCTCCAATCTGTGGGCGAGAGCATCTCCTGCCATAGATCCTCCTGCAGGTGAGAAATCCTTAGACAGCCAAAAAGCCTGGTACACATGTGGAAACAAACCAAGTGGTTTTCTGCCTTACAGTAAGAGTCCAAAAAGAGCTTATAAATCAGAGGTACTGAATTTGCTATTATGATCACCTGGAGAGCTGGTTCACAAAAACTAGCATCGTGCAGCTTAGACAGCACTGTACTGACCGGCAGCAGAATAGTCTTAAGAGCTCTTTTCTTTTTCTCTTGCAGTTCCCTCTCGGGTAGGAGCTCCTCTCTGTAAGATGACAAGAGTTCAGGCTGGAAAATCCCTGTCTGCAGCATGGCCTCTATTTGATTTCGGATTTCCCTGCTCAGATGCTGACGTACACGGCCATCATCTGCTGGTGTCCATACTCTGGCCATAAGCAAATGCCTTAGGAGCAGAGCTGGTTGAAATAAGTGACTGGTCACTTGTCCAAACACCCGGTTTGGGTTGATCTGTTGCCTCTGAATCAGGAGGTACTGAGTGAAGGTCAATTGGAGGACATCAAATAACTGGAAGGTCACAGCATCTTCTGAGGTCAGCCACTGACAGGCCAGCCAGGAAAGCTTACTTAGGAGATTCACCATGAGCTCATATTTTGCTGTATAAATGATGGAGAGAGGTGGAGTGGAAAGGATGCCCCTGCAACAACTCAGCACTGTGCCAACATTTTTGTGGGATTTTTGAGCACATGACTCTGAAATCCTTTCGTTTATGACCTGAAGATTTAAAAAAAAAAATCACTATCAACCTTGCACACAGAAACAAAGGTAACATGGGAACAGACAACATAGTGAACAGATAACATATGCTAGAGAGCTCTGGCTGGATCCACCAACAGGACTTAATAATAACAGAAGATTGGAAAAGCATAGATCCACCAATGGTCATTCCTGATCCCAGACATAGACTACTGGTCATTTGCAGACTGCAAATTCATCAAGGTAAGGACCTTGCCTTTGTATGTGTTTGCAAAGCTTCTAACAAAAGGGCCCACTCCTGACTGTGACTACTCTACTAGAAATAACAGCAATAATGGTTTATGATCCACCTCATTCTAAAATAGTGAAGAAACTTAATGCCGCAGAGAAAGGAAAAGCTAAATGTCCTCCCCATCTCCACAAAGTCCCTGCCACCATGGGAAAATTCCTTCCTTATCCCAGACTGGGGCAACCTATATGGCAAGGATCGCCATTAGTAAGCAAAGAATTCCATTTATACTCTAAAACAGCCATATGATGTCCTAGAGTTGAGTGTACTAGGATACATTTGCAAGCTTTTAATTCTCTCATGAGTAGTCTGAATGAAATCATCTGGACTACTTGCGAGGGTAGGGTTTGCCTGCATGGGTCTTTACTTACTAACTAAAATATTTAACCTCTTTAAATTCCTGATGAATTGGTGAGAGGAAAACCTGGGAGAGATCACCCCAGTATGAGATTACTGGAAAGCATTTTTGTTTTCCATCTTCATTCTCCACAAGTATCATCTGTCTCGCAAAAAAGGGGACAAAAGATAAAATAAATACAATAGCCTACAAATATAAGCTAATTATCCATAACTATTTTGTATAACACCTCTCTCTCGGAGGAAGAATACCGTTTCACATACTGCACTGATATTCACCATCTTACAGACAGTTTGGTTTGAATTACCTGTGCAATTGAAAAACTGAGGTTGATTATCTTTCCATCCTTTAAGAGATTCTGTAGTTTTCTGCTATGAAGAATGTTATCCAGGTACGTCCAAAGTTTCTCAACAATTTCATCCTCCAGTTCAAGTTTCTTGGTGTAATACGAAGCCAACGCATGGCTCACCCAATCAAGTAATACCTATGTTATTACAATAAAACAAATATACAGCTCTGGGTGATCATATTACCTGCATGGGAAAAGGATACAGAACAGCAGCAACTACCTCAAACCTGAGAACTGTGTAGACAGATGCCCATGAAGAATGAGCAGTGTGGATACAGAAGTGCAGTTCTCCAAATAGGATCAGGGTTTAAATTTGTAACAGTTTCTATTGTCAAGTTACTTTTGGCCCCCTTCACGCTCTAACCTTCATAGTAAAGCTAATGTCAAGAGTGAAAATGATAGGTTCCTTTCAGCTTCACTTAAACTGGCAAAGAAAATTTCTCATACAAAATGTTGGTATCAGTGAGGACATTGTTGAGTTAGGGTTCTTAGGAAAAGAACTGGTGGATTTTCACTTTATAAAAATTGTTCCAAATTCCAAAATGTAGAAACAGCTTGTCCTAATGATCACAAGTTTATTTAAAATCTTGATCTCCAATAGAAAGATCACACAAGCCTTATTTCCCTTTTTTGGAGTTCCTATTTTTTCAGTTTCTCTCTCTTTATATATTGTATACCTCAAAGTTTTGCAATCTGTAGAGCTTACAAAACCAATGGGCAGTGCCTGTTTTGCTTACAAAGTATGCAGGAATAGTCCATTTACTACAAGGTCTGCAGACCGAATCTGAAGATTTTATAAACTCCACAATCACAAGCACCAAAGACCCCACCTGACTTGTAAAGGATTATAAATGTTATAACAAGTCAGCACTGAATGTTCACGGTCAATAGACTTCAAACTCCTTTCTGACTACTCTGGAGATTCATAGCTCTTATAAAACTTTCAAACTTACAACTACAGTTAAGGAAGAAGCACATACTGTAAACCAGCGGTGGAGAACCTCAGGCCTGGATGCTTGTCTGGCTCCCGACGTTGAGGGCTCCCTCCCAGCACTGGGGAGCCTGCGCTGACACTTCAGCCCCCCCTGCTACTGCACCACAGGGCTGGAGCACACAAAATCTACTAGACTAGGACCCCCTAGGTTCTGGTGTGTGAGGGGAATGTGGGGAGTGTCTTTTCTCCTTCTCAGTCAAGGTTTGTGGTTTGATTTTTTTTGCTTCTCTCTTGTGTGCAGCCCCCAACTGATTTTTCTGTGGGTTAGGGCCCCCAATCAAAAAAGTTTCCCCACCCCACTGAACAATGAGCCAAACAGCTATCATTCAAAGAAACAATCTCTGCTAGCAAAGCAGCAATCTCTGCTAGCAATTTTTAAATTCTGTGAGAGTAATAAGAAAATATTAAAATTATTAAACCCACTGAAGCAGATCCTTAGTCCTCTGAGGGAGTAAAGAGGAAGCATTCAACTCCACTCGGTTATATATTTATGTGAAATAAATAAGATTTTCTTAATTTGTATAACTTCTTTATGATACTTTGAAATAATATTTTACAAATTTTAGTTTTCTTTAAAAAGCTAAAAAAATGTAGACAAATATTAAAATAAAATTATATTGTATAATACTGGTCACTTAAGCATTATACCCCATGAGCATGCCCCTACCCTGACTTGGAAGGACTTCTAGAAGTGAGAAGGTAGTTCGCCATTTAGTCCATTCTATGCTGGACCTTACTGCTGAACTCGCTAATCACAAATTCCACATAACTGACTCTTAATGGTCATTTTGTGATGGAGATGAAAGCCTATTAGGAAATAGCTTGAAGCCAAGCTCATTTCACATAGGCTACTACGCAATAGGGATGTCAATATGTAGACCACTACTCCATTACCCTGTAAGACTGAGCTTATTGGTTAATCATGTCAACTACATTCATTCCCTCTGTGGCAGCAGCCCCTGCCGGAGGGGAGTTTGGAACCCTCACAAACAGGAGCTGCTGCCACCCCGCTCTGCTGCCTCTGATACTGTATCAGAGGCAGAAGTGCTAGGCAGCAGACGGAGCCAATCTGTGTGGGGAGCGGGTTTTTAAATCAGCTCCCCTTGCGGACCAGCTCCTGCTTGCCACCTCGTGTTGCTGCCCCTGACACAGAGGCAGAAGCAGAGGGTGACAGGGACTCCTAGGAAGTAGGGCTGGGAGCACACTGGCCACCGGCCAAATCTCAGGCACTATTGAATAGTCATATAACTGCTATAATGTAATGAGATTATATGACTATTCAATTACGTGCTAACATCCCTACTACACAACCATCAGCAGCAACAACTTTCAGTTACTCCTATTACAGCAGTTTTAGCACATGGTCTACAGTTGATAGGATACACAATGCACTATTTAGCCTCTGAATCAGCTTGGTCTGAGGGATGTTAAAATGCATTTCTTTTGGTACAGGTCTACCCAATGACATTTTTAGCAGGTACACATTTACATGCGAGGGAGGAGGTGGCTCCATAGGAGCCAGTGTGCGAGGGGGAGCCTGCTTGGCTCCCCATGAGCACTGGCTCCCACCTCCAGCTCCCACCTCCACTGCTGCTTCTGATACAAAGGCAGCAGGGACAGGCAGGGAGAGACTGCATGTAACCCCCATGAAGATTAACTGATGAGCCCAGGATCATCGGTTAACCATTTAGACATTTACATTATCACATCCGTACTTGGTCTCCACAACAATAAACTGGTACATGTTTCTGGTTTTGACAGTTAAAACAATTTTTTAAAAAAACTCACCTGTTCTTTATTTGGAAGAAAGCATTGATGAGAAATCCATGCAAAATGAGCTAATTTAATTTTGTCTTCCCAAGAGGTTTTTGCACTTTTCAACTTCAGATGAATTCCAGAGTAAATTGCAGCCATAGAGCCTAGCACTGGATCTGAAACATCAAATTCACAAAAACGTTAGATGCACTAGAAATAAACATTAGCTGGGAGGATTTAAGAATATCAGACTATTAAGTTAACAGTTATTCATCTTCATTAAAGCCGACTCTTAGTTGGGCTATCCCCCACGTTCATTTGGCTTTGCAATGCAAGACACCCGGATTGGATACCCTGGTCTGGTCATGGAGAAGCCAATCCATGGAAATCAATGGAAACAACATTGGATATCAGGCAAACAAGAGCTGGCAGAAAGGAGGCGACAACACGAACTGAGACTTTCTAAAACAAAAGACGGGAACTATGCAGCACTTGAAAGACTAACAAGATGGTTTATTAGGTGAGGAGCTTTCCTGGGTTAGACCCACTTCCTCAACCTAATCTCATAGACACTAACCTCCCCCCCCCCCATTCTAAAATCTGATTTGTCAATTTTATGTGTTCACTTTTTTTTCTATTGTATCCTTTGGTATATATGGTCGTGCCAATTTTCTTCCACTATTTGATCTGAGGAAGTGGGTCTGGCCCACGAAAGCTCATCATCTAATAAACCATCTTGTTAGTCTTTCAAGTGCTGCACAGTCCTGTCTTTTTTGTCTCAGCAAAGCCAGACTAACAGGGCTACATCGCTGTTACTGAGACTTCCTAGTAGAGCTGCTGAAGTACCCGCCTCCCCCCCAAGCACAGGCAGCGGCGCATGCCTGGCACCCCTCAGGATCAGCCCCTCCACCCAATGCTTCATTCGCCCCAGGGCGTGCGGGCCAGAGCTGAGCCCGGCACCTCCGCGCTTGCTACGCCAGGGATAAACGTAGGGAAAAATGCCTTGAGCCCCAGCACTTGCACCCCTCCCCCGCCCCCCGGGAGAGCCACGGATCCGAGTGAGACCCGGCTCAGGTGCGTCCCGCCCCCCGCTGCGCCAGAGC